TGTCAAACTTTTTCATTCTTGTTATATCTGTTGTGGTGACCTGTGATCAGTGATCTTTGATGTTGCTAGTATAATTGTTTTGGCGTGCCATGAGCAGCACCCATAAAGATGGCAAATTCATCAATAAATGTCATGGGTGTCCTGTTCCACTGACCAGCCATTCCTCCATCTCTCTCCCTCTACTCAAGTCTCCCTATTTGCTGAGACACAACAATATTAAAACTGGGCCAGTTAATAAGCCTACAATGGCCTGTAAGTACTGAAGTGAAAAGAAGAGCCATGCATCTCTCCCTTAAAAGAAAAAGCTAGACATGAATAAGCTTAATGAAGAAAGTGTGTTGAAAGCAAGGATAGGCCAAAAGCGAGGCATCTTGTACCAAACAGGTAGCCAAGTTGTTAAAGCAAAGGAAAAGTTTCAAGGGAAATTGAAAATGCTACTTAGGTGAATATGTGAATGATAAAAAAAAAGCAATATGTGATGTTATTACTGATACGGAGAACGTTTTAGTGGTCTGGATCGAAGATCAAACCAGCAACCACATTCCCTTAAGCAAAAGCTGAACGCAGAGCAGGGCCTTAGCGCTCTTTAATTCTCTGAAGGCTGAGAGAGGTGAAAAAGTTGCAGAAAAAAAGTCTGAAGCTAGCAGACTTGGTTCATGAGGTTTAGGAAAAGAAGCCATCTCCTTGACAGAAAAGTGCAAGGTGAAGCAGCGTGTGGTGATACGAAAGCTATAGCAAGTTATCAAGAAGATCCAGCTCGGATCATTGATGAAGGTGGCTACCCTAAACAACAGATTTTCAATGTAGAGGAAACAGCCTTGTAATAGAAAAAGATGCCATCTAGGACTTTGACAGTTAGAAAAATGTCAAGTCAATGCCTGGCCTCAATGCTTCAAAGGACAGGCTGAATCTCTTTTAGGGGCTTATGGAGCTAGTGACCGAAAGTTGAAGCCAAGGCTCATTTGCCATTATAAAACTCCTAGGGCCATTTAGAAGTATGCTAATTCTACTTTGTGCTCTATAATGGGATAACAAAGCCTGGATGATAGCACACTTGCTTATAGTGTGGTTTACCGGATATTTTAAGCCTACTGTTGAGAACTACTGCTCCAGGAAAAGACTACTTTCAAAATTGCTCATTGAATGACAGTGCACCTGTCACCTTAGAGCTCTGAGGGAGATGTACAAGGTGATTAATGTTTTCATGCCTGCTAACATAACATCCATTCTGCAATCCATGGCTCAAGAAGTAAGTTTGAATTTTGAGTCTTGTGATTTAAAAAATACATTTTGCAAAACTATAGCAGACACAGACAGTGATTCTTCTGAAGGATCTGGGCAAAGTAAGTTGAAACTCTTCCGGCAAGGATTCACCCTTCTATTAATAGATATCATTAAGAATATTCATGACTCACGGGAGGAGGTCAAAATATCAACATTAACAGGAATCTAGAAGAAGTTGATTCCAACGCTTGTGAATGACTTTGAGGGTTTAAGGCTCCAATGGAGGAAGTAACTTCAGATAGGGTAGAAATAACGTGAGAACTAGAATTAAAAGTGGAGCCTGAAGATGTGACTGAATTGCGATCATCTCCTGATAAAACTGAGATGGGTGAGGAGTTGCTTCTTATGGAAGCCAAGAAAGCGGTTTCTTGAGTTGGAAGCTGCTCTTTGTGAAGACGTTGCAAACATTGTTGAAATGACAACAGAGGATGTGATATTATACAAACTTAATTGATAAAGCAGTGGCAGGGGTTGGGAGGATTGAGTTCAATTTTGAAACAAGTCCTACTGAGGGTAAAAGGCTATTAAACAGCTTTGCATGTTAGGGAGAGATCTTTTGTGAAAGGAAGAGTCAGTCAAAGTGGCAAACACATGTTTTCTTATTTTAAGAAATTGCTATGGTTGCTTCAACTTCTAACAACCACCCTTCTGACCAGTCAGCAGCCATCATCACTGAGTCAAGCCCTCCACCAGCAAAGAGATTACAGCTTGTTGAGGACTCAGACGATTGTGAGCATTTTTTAGAAATAAACCATTTTAAAATGAGGGTACCACATTTTAAAAGATATAACGCTATTGCACACTTAACAATGCTATAGTGTAAATAGTACTATAGTGTAAATATAACTTTTATATGTACTGGGAAACCAAAAGCTCTGTGACTCACTTTATTGTAATATTCACTTTATTAGGGTAGTCTGGAATTGAACCTGACATATTGCTGAGG